TTATTTTGGAGTACCCGACTGGGAATTTTATTGATGAGATGACATGCTGTGAGTGTGGCTTCCCCCCAATAGTGTTTAGGCATATTTGATTGAAACAATAAAGCCCGACTGACGTCTAGGAGATGGCGATTTTTTCTTTCTGCTGTGCCATTCTGTTGTGGTGTGTACGGACAAGAGGACTCATGAACAATGCTTTTTGAGAGGAAATAAGAGGAAACGGTTTGATTGAAGTATTCAAGAGCATTATCAGTGCGGAAGCGTTTTATTGTGGCGGAGAACTGATTATGAATCATATTCCAAAAGATAGGAATGATGGAACTCACCTCACTCTTGTTTTTTAGCAGAAAAACCCACATAAAACGTGTACAATCATCAATAAATGTAACATACCACCGGGCACCAGATATATTAGCAATTGGAGCAGGACCCCAGACATCACTATGTATAATATCAAAAGGAGAACAACTGATTGTATTACTTCTGGAAAAAGATACACGAGACTGTTTAGCAAGTTCACAGACATCACATTGAAATGTAGAAACATCAATACTACTAAAAAGACTGGGAAACATGGTTTTTAGGACATGAAAAGAGGGATGACCAAGACGCTTGTGGTGAAGCCAAATAGTGTTGGTATTGGTTGTGATTGTGGTAAGAGCTTTTTGTGGAGGTTTGGAGACAAACAGTGCATCAAGGTAGTACAGGCCATCTCTTTGTTTAGCAATTCCAATCGTCCTCCCCGTGTGTAGATCCTGTAATAAACAGTGGGAAGGGAAAAAAATGGCAGCACAATTAAGATCAACTGTGAGTTTGTAAATAGAAGCAAGGTTCATAGCCAGGTTTGGGACATGTAGGGTGTTTTTCAGATTTAATTTTTCAGAAAAAACAACCGTACCAAGTCCCGCAACCTTTGTAGGTGTCCCATCAGCAGTAGTAATGTGCGTGGATGTAAAACATGGATGATAATTAGAGAGTAAAGAGGGTATGGCAGTCATATGAGATGTGGCACCTGAGTCTAATATCCATTGGGATTGTGAACTCTGTTCCGAAGCATTAAGACAAAAAATATTAGAGGTTTTACCTTGCAGGGCCAAAGAGCTATGACCAGAACCATTTGAGTTATTAAGAGACTGTAACATCATACGAATTTGCTTTAATTCCTCCTGGGAAATGGGCCAAAGATTAGTAGAGCTCTCAACAATAGTGGGAGTGACTGAGTTGGCACGTCCAGCACTCATTCCACGTCTGTCTTGGCTTTTCCTTTCTTTCTGTAGATGAGGATAAAGTTTCCAGCATGTATCAACATTATGGTTGGACCGCTTGCAATGATCACACCATCTTCCTCCCTTACTACCCTTAGTTTCCTTAACATCTGAAGGAGTAGATTTGGCAGCAAGAGCTGTACTGTCAATCAGATTTGTATTCATCATTATATTGCGTCTGCTCTCTTCATGTTTGATAGTGGCAATGGCAGAAGATATGGAAGGCAGAGGAGTAATGCCAAGAATTTGACCCCGAGTCTGATCATATTCGGGATTTAAACCAGACAAGAAGCAATATAGACGTTGCTGATTTATATAGTTCTTGTGAAGAGCTGCATCTGCAGCATTCGACCACTTCATCGTTTGATACTGGTCAAGTTCAGACCATCGTCGTTGGAGGTCAGTTGCATAATCTGTGACAGATTGTGAATCTTGCTTAAGATTCGTTGTTTTGAGCCATAAGTCATAGACAAAAGCGCCATCTTTAGCAACAGAGTAGGACTGCTGTATGAAATCCCAGATTTCTTTAGCCGAGTCCATGTATAAACATGTACTGCTAATGTTGGGATCCATAGAGTCCCATAACCAGACCCGTACGTTGGCATTAGTTTTCTCCCAAATAGCAGCATCAATCTCTCCTTCTTCTGGGGTAGAGACAGTGAGATAATCTTCAAGATCTTTGCCACGTAGAAGAGTGTAAACCAGCTTTGACCACCCAAGATAGTTCCTGCCATTGAGACGGTAAGATGGCGGGATAGAAGGGAGATCAAATTTCTGGTTTCGAAGAGCAAACGCGGCTGCAGTAGCAGCTGAAACAATGGTTGAGTGATCAAGGTTACTTGAGGCTGATTCGGCTTCTTTAGACATGATAAAACCCTTGATGAAGAGACTCCACCGGGAGTTAAAGAGAGAGAAGGGTAGAGACACCCAAAAAAATGACCGTTGGAGAGGTGATAGACTGACTCAAAAAAGGCTTAGACGAAACCAAGCTTTGATACCATGAAGTTTTCTGAATATTATTTCCTTGAATTCATTTACAAGAAGTACATAAGCTATTTATACAGATAGGAATCCTGAGAGAGTCTATTCAGCACCCTAGGTGACTGTCTAAATACTAAACATAAATGATTGAGAACTGAAAAGACAGCAGCTATTAAATACAACCTGAAGCACTAAAGATACATAATTACAGTAATAATAAGGAAAATAAATCCTAGATTAATGATGTCTCTTCGTTTTATCAACAATTACTATGCTCACTAACCTATTATAGTATTTGCTCAATGTTAAATGACATCTTGAACCGGGATGGATTTTGACTTTATGACCTCTTCCTTGGGAGTGTCACATTGATGTTATCAAATCACAAGGTGCTTGGCACGCAAGAAGTATATATTACTTCTGTCCCATTTTACATGTTCTACTTTCCGTTTTGGATTCTCAAAGTAAGTATCAAATTTCCTTTTTTGAAAAGAAATATGTAGTCTAAAGCATTTCACTTTATTATACTCAAATCTCAACCACAACTTTTACTTTTTTAACCACTTTATTAATAATTGTGTCAAACAAAGTAGGACAAATTAAATGGGACGGAGGTAGTACTACATATCATTTCATTTCATTTTCATTTACCCCAGTGCCGCAAAGGCTCCCACCTACGGTGGGGTAGCGGAGTCGGATGTACGCAGTCTTACCCATGTACAGAGAGATTGTTTCCGGATGACCCATGGTGAAAATCGCGTCCAAAATTGCATAAAATTGCATATGGACTGACTGTTGCTCCATAACAAAGAAGCGCAGACAGTTTAGTGAGCCATTTTGCTTTATTCGATTATAATCTCAAGCCAAAAAATAATGAATCTTTGGTTCCATTGCAAATGATGGAAAAGGAGGTAGTACTACATATAAGAACCAAAAATAATGGATACAACAACATCTAAGCTTTAGTTCCAAAAGATTTTGAGGTCAGCTATGAGCTAACATGAATCGGTATACGAAATCAAGGCTAAAAAGACAAATAAAAATATAAAAAAATAAGATGAAAAGATAAGATAAAGCTAAGAAAAAGAATTAAAAAACAGAAGATAAGAAAGAGGAAAAAATAAAAAAAATATAATGGATATATAAATATACGAAGTAGTATATAGAGACCTAAACAACTAGAATATTATTTTAGCATTATATTTAGTCAAACTATTATGTTAGCATATTTAATATATGCAGAAAAGAACCTGTGCAGACGTCCAGACACGATCCTCAGTCCGGCCGTTGCCGTTTAGGGTGGTTCCCGGTGGAGTTTTTTCATGAATTGTTTTTAGGATGTTATTAATGAAGTGCAGATTATGTCCACAGAATTTCAGCTCAAAGTTCAAACAGAAAATTATTTAAATAAATTATTGAAAAATGTTGTGCTTTTATGTAAATAGTTTGGCACAAAATTTTTCAATAATTTATCTAACTGACATAATCTGCCGAGAACCTTCCCAAACGGCGACACCCCAACAGAAGATCATGTCCATCCGAATGGACAAGATCATTACTCTTAATATATGTATGTATATATATATAGAGAGAGAGAGACAAAGGATCTGGTCAGTCCAGACTGACGGGGAGTCCTGTCCAACCAAGCTTGTTTGAGGGCTTCCCGATCGAATTCGAATATTTTGATGAAACCTTGTGAGCATGTTCTTCATGAAGTGTAGTTTGCCCCAACAAAATTTCAACTTAAAATTCAATCGGGAAGTCAATTAAATAAAATATTGAAAAATACTACGCTAGTAAAATAATTTTTTTTTGAGGTGCAGTGTTTTTAAGTAATTTATTTAACTGACTCCTTGATTGATATTTAAGTTGAAATTTTGTGGGGATAATCTACACTTCATGAAGAACATGCTCACAAAATTTCATTAAACATTTCGAGCAGGAAGCCCCTCAATCGGGCTTGGCCGGATGGTTCTCGCTGTTAGTCTGAACTGACCAAATCAGTTGTTTTTTGACCAAATCAGTTCTATATATGTATATATATATATATGTATATATATGTATGTATGTATGTATGTGTGTATGCATGTATGTGTGTATGTGTATGTGTATGTGTATGTGTATGTGTATGTGTATGTGTATGTGTATGTGTATGTGTATGTGTATGTGTACGTGTGTGTGTATTACCAAACATTGAATGTGATGTGGTATACAATACATAGTTTTAAAATTATGTGGCACCTTATCACATACTCCCTATTGAAATATTTGCTACAATATGGTTTGACACAATATCTAAGGAAAGTAGTAGGGGTAAAGAATAGTGTATAAAAAGTAGGAGAGATGGTGGAAACGTATGAAACATGAGATAAGAAGTAGAAAATGTAATGATGATCAAGTAATTTTAAAGGGGAAAACTTACCAAAAAGGGAAAGTGTGGCAAAAATTAAAGTACATTCCAAAAAGGAAAGTGTAGCAAATATTTCAATACGGAAGGAGTATCCCATTAGGGGTAAACTAAAGGTGTTAAGTTTTTGGTCTTGAAATGGTAAATTTTGATCATCTAGGTCACTATTGATCAAGTGTATCTTTCATGTTCAGGTATAATGGTAAGCTTAACTTTCAGGTAATACTCCACAAACAACACATTACCAAACAACACTCAAGTGTACAATATAACAATGAACTGCAGATTCCAGCATTGTAGAGGGATGCTCATCAGTAGAGGCAATATCTAACAGAAGAACCGAAGTGTACCTATCTTTTCCGAGCTGGCGCCTGTAGCCATACTCTTCATGCCATAATGCAGGTAAGGGTTTTACATCAAACTGCCTCAGAATCTGAAAATAAGGCTGATTTCTCAAGATGCAAGCATAAAATGTGTAGAAATTACGAGTACAATTTTTTTATACAGGAGTAGAAAAATGCATTCACGCCCTAGTCTCATTTTCAATGTCCACTAAATTTGCCGATGCCCAATCATAAGAGTATAAGACCCCCCCCCCCCCCCCCCCCCCCACATCTTTCTATCACAAAAACGATAAAACATTTCAAACCATAAGAACTTAAGGCAATGGGAGAACATCAAAATTAACACTTGACGTGATTTTTTCTTTGTACCCTAACAAATAAAATCATACTACCTCCGTTCTTAAATAAATGCAACACTTTGACTTTTACACTATTCACATGTTCTACTTTGACTACGTTTTATTTATTAATGTAATAATATTATTTTATGGAAAAAATATTGTTAAACTTGTCTCATTGTAAATTTTCATAATCTAATTTTTTTAATTTTTTACTAATACAAAATCATTTATATTAATGGTCAAAGTTGTGTCTCGGCAAGTGTGAAATGTTGACCGTTGCATTTATTTAAGAACGGAGGACGTATATTCATAAATATACTACTCCCTCTGACCCATTAAACTTGGCCAAGTTTGACTTGCACGTAAAATAATAAAGCAAAAACTATACAATTGAGAATTGTGAAGAAAGAATAATTTTTACCACATATTTATTAATTTAAATGGAAAAGGCAAAGTTTGTTGGGACATCTAAACAAGAAAATTTGGCAAAGTTTTGTGGGGTGGATGGAGTACAAATTTAGAAGATTATTCAGAATACAATTGAGGGTATATTAGTTACAGCAGAAGAAACTAAAGGATCGGCCTGCTTACATCAGCAACTCATCAACATCATTACCCCCCGGTGCCGCAAAGGCTCCCACCTTCAGTGGGGTAAGGGGGTCGGATGTACGCAATCTTACTCATGTACTAAAACACAGAGAGACTGTTTCCGGATGACTCATAGTGAAAATTGCATGGATTGATCTGTCACTTCATAATAAAGAAGTGCACGGTTAAGTGAGCCAATTTGTTTTATTTCATCATTTTCCCAAGCCAAAAAATAGTGAGTTAACTCCATTGCAAAAGATGGAAAATTCCATACATCAGCAATTCGTTAAAAAAAAGCTTCAATAATTGAGTACTTCCTCTTTCCCATAATTTCATTCAAGTTTTCTTTTAGGAGAAGTGGAGAACTGTATGGTTGATACTGTTTCTTTCTTTTTTCTAAATAATCTCCATCCACAGTTTCATTTTCTTAACAAATGTATTATGTCAAAGTGGGAAAAAATGATTAAAATTGAAAGAAAAATAAACCTTATACATACGATAAGTGGAACTATCCATTGACATGTTCTAGTTTCTATTTTCAAATAATGTTTTCATTTTAGTAATTAAGTTGTGACGAGACTTGAGGGGTAATTGGTTGACTTTCCAAAACACAGGTTAAAAAACTGTTTTGACCAAATTTGAAGAGGGTGATACTATTTAATCATAGTTATTATATACTAAGATCTAGTATTTTCAAAAGGATGAAACAAACATGCATCCAATCAAGAAAAACAAAGTGCAAATTCTTAATAGTAGTGGTAACACACAACCAAACTCTAATGAACATGTTATGTGACTTTATCTATTGTCCGCAATGTTGACCTGTGAAAGTAAGTAGCAACATAGAACCTATCCCATACCTTATTAGGTATAACTACTCCTTCATGAAGTTTCGGAATATGCTTATGAGGAGGAGGATTAAGAAAGGCAACATTCCTGGGAAAAGAAGAATCATTACATAGTAACACTTAATGGGCTAAAACTAAATTTATTAGAAGGGTTAGAATGTGAGACTGAGAACTTACAAAACTTGATTGCTAGTAATATCATCCAAAGCACGGATTGGGGAAGGAACCACATTTTTCAGTCCATTTCTTTCAGATAACCAAATGAATCCATTCATTCCACCACTACAGGGGATGGGAAAAAAAGAATCAGAAGTTTGCTATAGAATCAACAAGCACAATAAATAATCATAAAACACTAAAGAAGAACTTAAAAATTGTTAGTAAGATTTCTGATGTTAAACCTTGTTCTTGGATCAATTTGCCATGGCACTTGTTCCTTTGGAAGCACAGAAACATTATGATGATAGTAAGCCAGGATATATGATGCCAAAACATGTAAGGGGTGGACATATAGCAAATCAAACATCACACTGTTCCTCAGTTGCTCTTCTTGCTGAAAATGACATGGCCAAATGAGATATGAATGAGAAAGCAAGATAAATATGATGGTAATAAACTAATAATAGACTAATACTATTCTCATAAAATACCGTCAAAGTATCTTCAAGCTTCTTTGTTTCAGTGAGCAACTTCTTCTGATCAATGAATGGCAACTTAACAACAGCCTAGTTTCAAGAATTCAAGGTGAAATAAATAACAGCCATATGAGTGATTAGCAAAGAGAACAACATCTACTGAGAATTTATGGATTCCTCACGGCTATTTATGAAAGAGTTACATAAAATCAAGAGCTGTTTTAGCCATAAATGGCATCTTAGCATAACGTATAGTGAGCTACCTGCCATGCAAAACGCTTCCCGTTCATATCCAATTCAAAATCTATCCATATAAAAACCAACAAGATGAAAAGTTAATTTGAATTCAAGATCTAACAATATTAAAATTAAAAGGGATAAGTTACTTCTGATTCAAGAGTTAGGGGGGACCGGGGGAGTCGGTCGTCCCTTTACCAGTTGGATAAAAATCAATGATGGGAGATGATGGATCAGTCATTAATGTCCTGTAACTTTCAGGAAGAGCACTTGAGCTACAGCAAAGGAAAAAACATATAAAGTAGTCATCATTGTTGTGAAAGACATTAGAATATTCTTTAGAATATGTTTTAGAATATTCTTCTATCTTTAGAATATGCTTAAGAATATTTTAGGAATATACTCTAGGATATTATTATTGTATAGAATCTTAAAGGAATATTCTATCTTTGTAATGTATATATATATGAGCTTAACCCTCCAAAGAAATACACAGAAAATGATTCTTCTCATTACTATTCTATCTTTTATTCTTTCAACATGGTATCAGAGCATCGTAGAACATTAGTCCAGAAATTTTAGCTTCTCTTGTAAGTTATTATTATTACTTTGTTTTCCCAGAACCTCTCCCCAGAACATCCATTCCCAGAACCTCTCCCCAAAACATCCAATCCCAGAACCTCCTATCCCAGAAACTCCATTATACTCCAGTTTAGTTTCCTTTTTTTCCCCTCTTTTTGTTCGGAACCTCTGTTCACAGACCATCAGCCGACACCAACTTTAGAACCTTAGTCCAGAACCTACCTCACCTACACCCTACGCTGGTGCACCTTCCGCCGGCGACCAGAAAACCGAAATCCGCAGCTCCAAATCACCGCACGTGAGCTACACGCGCCGCCGGCAGTTCTAGCAGCTTACTCACGCGCCGGTGCGTGAACACGCATTTCTGGACAGAGCTTCGACCGGAGACCATCGCCAGCCTCGCCGAAGTGTCCTCTAGTGATATCCAGGTACACTTCATTACAATATTGGAGGGTTTCTTTCTACAGTAAACGTCCTCTTGCGAATGTAGACATGCCACTTGCATTTCTGGCGCTAGAAGGAGGGCTGTAAGTTCATTAATATCTTGTTTTGTTAAAAAAATGGCTGGTTCTGATGCTGACTCTTCAGAGGTAACACAAAATCGTTCTTTGATAGTTTCTGAAATCATTCCCATTAATTTTAAAATTACCGAGAATAAACTTTGTGGCTCCAATTATCTTGAATGGAGTAAAACTATCAAACGTTAATTAAGAAGCATTGATAAATATACCCACCTAGTTGATGACCCGCCAAAGGAGGAGGTTGATAGAGCTGCTAATGATGCCTGGCTTCGTGATGATTCTAGATTATTTATCCAGATTCAAAACTCCATGGAGAACGACGTCATGGGGTACGTTAGTAATTGCGATACTGTGAAAGAACTGTTTGATTATTTGGAATTTATGTATTCAGGCAAAGGTAATCTTAATCACATCTATGAGGTATGCAAAGCCTTTTACAGAGCAGAAATGAAAGATAAGCTCTCACGGCTTACTTTATGGATTTCAAGAAAACATATGAAGAGCTTAATACATTAATGCCATTTAGTCCAGATATCAAAGTGCAGCAGAAACAATGAGAACAGATGGCGGGCATGAGTTTTTTGGCTGGTCTTACGACTGATTTTGAAACAGCCAAATCACACATCTTGTCTAGTGATGTGGTCTCCTCTTCAAGATGCTTTCAAGAGAGTGCGAACCGCACTGACACTTCATCCACATCATGAGCACCTCAACCAAACAATGCTTTTTTAGGGCAAGTCCCAACATTCCCCGATGGAGGTGAGAAATGGAGGTGAGTAGTATGCAACTAGTGTAAGAAACCCGGGCACTTGATCAAAGATTGTCGAAAACTAAAGTTCAAAAATCAAGGAAAACAAGTTGCTCACATTGCTTCGGCTACACAGCCATCTAATGGATCCATCATTCTGTCTTCTGAGGAATACGCCAAATTCCTTTGCTATCAGGAGGCTCTAAAGCATTCATCTACTCCTATCTCCGCTGTCGCTAATTCAGGTAATCCAAACACATGTCTTGTATCTTCATCCTCAAAATGGGCTATCGATGCAGGAGCAACAGATCATATGACAGGTAATCCTAGTCTTTTTTCCTCATTCCACACACCTATTCATACTTCTAGTGTTACTTTGGCTGACGGATCTACGTCACCAGTTCTTGGTACGGGTACAATTGTCCCAACATCTACCTTACCTTTGTCACCCGTCCTAAGTCTTCCAAATTTTGCCTTTAATTTGATTTCGATCAGCAAAATCAAACGTAAACATTATTGTTTTGTAACCTTTTTCCTGGATATTGTGTATTTCAGGATCTGTTGACGAATCGGGTTATTGGTAAAGGATATGAGTCGGCTGGGCTCTATCTCTTGGATACATCCTTACCCAAATCAATCTCTTGCCTTGGGGTTGGAACTGTGTTAGAGGCTCACTATCGACTGGGTCATCCATCTCTTCCATTGTTAAAGAAACTTCATCCTCAATTCAATAAGGTGTAATCTTTACAGTGTGATTCATGTCAATTTGCAAAACATCATCGAACTAGTCTAAGTCCTCGAGTCAATAAACGAGCACATGCTCCTTTTGAACTTGTTCATTCTGATGTTTGGGGCGCTTGCCCTGTTGTGTCCAAAACTGGTTTTAAATATTTTGTTACCTTTGTTGATGATTATTCTCGTATGACTTGGATTTATTTCATGAAACGTCGTTCCGAGTTATTTTCTCATTTTTGTGCTTTTTGTGGTGAAATCAAAACTCAATAATATTTTAAGGGGAGACCATGCTCAAGAATATTTGTCTGCCTCATTTAAGTTGTATATGGCTCAACATGGCATAATTCATCAAACTTCATGAGTAGACACACCTCCCCAAAATGGAGTTGTTGAACGAAAGAACAGACATCTATTAGAAACTGTACGGGCTCTTCTATTTCAAATGAATGTACGAAAACATTTTTGGACATATGTTGTGTCTACCGCATGTTTTTTGATCAATCGAATGCCATCTACTGTTTTAGATGGTAAAACTCCATATCAATGCCTATTTTCAAATAATGAAAATTTTCATATCCCTCCTAAAGTTTTTGGTTGCACTTGTTTTGTACGAGATGTTAATCTCCATTTAACAAAGATAGATCCCAAGTCATTAAAGTGCATTTTCTTAGGCTACTCTTGAGTTCAAAAGGGGTACAGATGTTTTTCTCCAAGTACAGGTCTGTATCTTGTTTCAATTGATGTCTCCTTTTATGAAAATACACCATTTTCATCAACAGACACAAATATCTGTAGGGAGAATGATGATATACTCATTTACACAGTCACTATACCCAAGTCCAATACTTCAGCAGTTCTTCCACATGTTACTTTTCTTGAGCTTAGGCCTCCGATACAGTTGGTATACACCCGTCGACACAAAGTGCAAGATCACCCTCCACCTGTGGTACTTCTCGTGATACTGATCTGATCTCATATCTTGAACCGACACCTGCACTACGTAAAGGTACACGGTCTTGTACTCATCCCATTTCTTCACAAAATGCACAAAGTGCATCTTCAGATCCTATCTCTACATCAGATCTTGATCTCCCCATTGCACTACGTAAAGGTACACGGTCTTGTACTCATCCTATTTCTTCATTTGTGTCGTACAATCGGTTATCATCTGCCTCATGTTCTTTTATTGCTTCCATTGATTCTATTTCTGTTCCCAAATCTGTTAAAGACGTTCTGTCTCATCCTGATTGGCGTCATGCCATGGTAGAGGAAATGAATGCTTTGGATCTTAATGGTACTTGGGATTTGGTAGACTTGCCTACAGGGAAGAAATCTATAGGATGTAAGTGGGTCTTTGTTGTAAAGGTTAACCCTGACGGATCCGTTGCTCGATTGAAAGCCCGATTAGTTGCGAAGGGTTATGCTCAAACCTATGGTGTTGATTATTCTGACACATTTTCTCTCGTTGCTAAATTAACATCTGTCAGGTTACTTATTTCTCTCGTAGCAACTCATATTTGGCACTTACATCAGTTGGACATTAAGAATGCATTTTTGCACGGTGATCTTCAGGAGGAAGTTTATATTGAGCAACCTCCGGGGTTTGTTGCTCAGGGGCAGTATGGGAAAGTTTGTCGACTTCGCAAGTCTCTTTATGGTTTGAAACAGAGTTCCCATGCATGGTTCGGGAAATTCAGCCAATCAATTGAACGATTTGGGATGATAAAAGGCAAATCAGATCACTCTGTATTTTACAGACGAACGAAAGCAGGTATTACATTGCTTGTGGTGTATGTCAACTGAAGTTTTCTGAGTATTATTTCCTTGAATTCATTTACAAGAAGTACATAAGCTATTTATACAGATAGGAATCCTGAGAGAGTCTATTCAGCACCCTAGGTGACTGTCTAAATACTAAACATAAATGATTGAGAACTGAAAAGACAGCAGCTATTAAATACAACCTGAAGCACTAAAGATACATAATTACAGTAATAATAAGGAAAATAAATCATAGATTAATGATGTCTCTTCGTTTTATCAACACTCCCCCTCAAGCTAGGTTTGTAGATATCCGTCATGCCTAGCTTGACAATAAGACCCTGGAACCTAGGACTGTGCAGAGGTTTGGTAAACACATCTGCAACTTGATCTTCTGAGGGAGTGTAGCTTAGTTCGATCAGACCTCCTTCAACCTTTTCTTTGATAAAGTGCCTATCAATCTCAATATGCTTGGTCCGATCATGTTGGACTGGATTATGAGCTATGTTGATTGCTGATTTGTTATCACACCTCAATTCCATTGGTCCTTTCCACTTGATTCGTAAATCTAAGAGAATAATTCTGATCCATAGAAGTTCACATAAGCCATGGGCAAGAGCTCTTAGCTCAGATTCAGCAGATGATCGTGCCACAACATTCTGTTTTTTGCTTCTCCATGTCACGAGGTTTCCTGCTAGGAAAACACAGAGACCAGTAGTTGACCGGCGGTCAACGAGGGAGCCACCATAATCTGCATCAGTGAAGGCTTGGACTGATAATTGCCCACCCTTCCTGAATATTATCCCTTGCCCTGGACTTCCTTTTAGGTAGTGAAGAACCCTATAGGCTGCTTCTAGATGTGGTTTCCTTGGATCATGCATGAACTGACTCAAAACACTAACTGCATAGGCAATGTCAGGTCTAGTATGAGAGAGATAGATAAGTTTGCCACACAAGCGCTGATACATTGATGAATCAACCTTGGGTTCATCAGTAGCAAGTCCAAGCTTGTGATTAGGATCCATAGGTGCATTAACCGGTCGACAAGCACTCTTACCGGTCTCATTTAACAAATCTGTAATGTACTTTTGTTGGCTGATAAAGATGCCTTCAGATGAGTGAGCAACTTCAATTCCAAGAAAGTATTTTAGAGGGCCAAGAGACTTCATCTCGAATTTGGATTTCAGCTGCCCCTCAAGACGTTGTTTCTCAACTGGATCATTACCCGTCACAATGATGTCATCCACATATACCAAAAGAATAGTGACTCCATTTGGGCGAGAGTGTTTGTAAAAAAGAGTATGATCCCCTTGGCTTTGACTATACCCAGCAGCAAGAACAACCTGTGTGAAGCGGTCAAACCAAGCACGAGGGGATTGCTTGAGACCATAGAGGGCTTTTTTTAAATGACATACATGTGTAGAGGTTCTTGTTGATGTTTTATTAAAGCCTGGGGGAATGTACATGTAGATCTCATCATGCAAGTCACCGTGGAGAAAAGCATTCTTGACATCAAATTGCAATAAAGGCCAATCAAAGTGAGATGCCAAGGATAGTAGGATACGGACAGTATTGAGCTTAGCTACAGGAGCAAAGGTCTCTTGATAGTCAATCCCATACGTCTGAGTGTATCCTTTAGCCACAAGACGAGCTTTGTACCGCTCAAGAGATCCATCAGCCTTGTATTTGACAGTAAAGATCCACCTGCAACCAACAACATGCCTCCCAGGAGGTTTAGTCACAATATCCCAAGTATGGTTCTTTTCAAGAGCTCTAATTTCCTCTTGCATAGCATCCCTCCATTCTTTCTTTCCTAATGCCTCAGAAACAGAGTTGGGTATGGGAATTTCATTAAGTCTCTGAACAAACAAGGCATGTGAAGGAGAGAAGTTATCAATGGTAACAAAATTAGCAAGAGGGTATAGAGGTGTTTTGGTACATTGACGTACACCCTTGCGTAAAGCAATTGGCGGAGATGGTGGTGGAGAAGAAGAGACATTACCTGGGTCAGCCAATTGGTCATGCGTCAACAATGGAGTGAACCTGTTTTTCCTTGAGTACACTTTTGTCACTGGTAGAGGAGAAGATGGGTCATGAGTGGTGGATTTAGTAGGTGTAGGAATGGGATGATCTGGTGGTGTATTTGATTGAGGTTCAGGTGATGTTGAAGACTGTTGGGAAGTAGGTGAGGTTGCTGACACATCTAAGGAAGGTGATGGATGATCATGTGGTGGTGGTGGTGATGGGATGTCTGGTGATAAAGGCTTAGGAGGGTAGGAGATTGTATGTGGTGGAGAAGATGTAATAGTATAGGTGGGCAGAGGTGAAGGATGTGGAGTATCTTGGGATACAGGGAGAGAAGTAGGAGTGTAAAAAAGGTGTGTCTTCGTGAAAGGTCACATCTGCACTGGTGTATGTCTTTCTGGTTGTAGGATTATAGCACTTATATCCTTTCTGAGTTGGAGAATAACCAAGAAAGATACACTTAATAGATCGTGGGTCCAATTTTCCCCTATGAGGTGGAGGAATATGAACAAATGCAGTACACCCAAACACCCTTAGATCAAGATCAGAAGAAATTCTGGTTTGAGGAAAGAAATGACGGAGAGATTCAAGGGGTGACTTATTTTGGAGTACCCGACTGGGAATTTTATTGATGAGATGACATGCTGTGAGTGTGGCTTCCCCCCAATAGTGTTTAGGCATATTTGATTGAAACAATAAAGCCCGACTGACGTCTAGGAGATGGCGATTTTTTCTTTCTGCTGTGCCATTCTGTTGTGGTGTGTACGGACAAGAGGACTCATGAACAATGCCTTTTGAGAGGAAATAAGAGGAAACGGTTTGATTGAAGTATTCAAGAGCATTATCAATGCGGAAGCGTTTTATTGTGGCGGAGAACTGATTATGAATCATATTGCAAAAGATAGGAATGATGGAACTCACCTCACTCTTGTTTTTTAGCAGAAAAACCCACATAAAACGTGTACAATCATCAATAAATGTAACATACCACCGGGCACCAGATATATTAGCAATTGGAGCAGGACCCCAGACATCACTATGTATAATATCAAAAGGAGAACAACTGATTGTATTACTTCTGGAAAAAGATACACGAGACTGTTTAGCAAGTTCACAGACATCACATTGAAATGTAGAAACATCAATACTACTAAAAAGACTGGGAAACATGGTTTTTAGGACATGAAAAGAGGGATGGCCAAGACGCTTGTGGTGAAGCCAAATAGTGTTGGTATTGGCTGTGATTGTGGTAAGAGCTTTTTGTGGAGGTTTGGAGACAAACAGTGCATCAAGGTAGTACAGACCATCTCTTTGTTTAGCAATTCCAATCGTCCTCCCCGTGTGTAGATCCTGTAATAAACAGTGGGAAGGGAAAAAAATGGCAGCACAATTAAGATCAACTGTGAGTTTGTAAATAGAAGCAAGGTTCATAGCCAGGTTTGGGACATGTAGGGTGTTTTTCAGATTTAATTTTTCAGAAAAAACAACCGTACCAAGTCCCGCAACCTTTGTAGGTGTCCCATCAGCAGTAGTAATGTGCGTGGATGTAAAACATGGATGATAATTAGAGAGTAAAGAGGGTATGGCAGTCATATGAGATGTGGCACCTGAGTCTAATATCCATTGGGATTGTGAACTCTGTTCCGAAGCATTAAGACAAAAAAATAGTAGAGGTTTTACCTTGCAGGGCCAAAGAGCTATGACCAGAACCATTTGAGTTATTAAGAGACTGTAACATCATACGAATTTGCTTTAATTCCTCCTGGGAAATGGGCCAAAGATTAGTAGAGCTCTCAACAATAGTGGGAGTGACTGAGTTGGCACGTCCAGCACTCATTCCACGTCTGTCTTGGCTTTTCCTTTCTTTCTGTAGATGAGGATAAAGTTTCCAGCATGTATCCACATTATGGTTGGACCGCTTGCAATGATCACATTTGAAGGAGTAGATTTGGCAGCAAGAGCTGTACTGTCAATCAGATTTGTATTCATCATTATATTGCGTCTGCTCTCTTCATGTTTGATAGTGGCAATGGCAGAAGATATGGAAGGCAGAGGAGTAATGCCAAAAATTTGACCCCGAGTCTGATCATATTCGGGATTTAAACCAGACAAGAAGCAATATAGACGTTGCTGATTTATATAGTTCTTGTGAAGAGCTGCATCTGCAGCATTCGACCACTTCATCGTTTGATACTGGTCAAGTTCAGACCATCGTCGTTGGAGGTCAGTTGCATAATCTGTGACAGATTGTGAATCTTGCTTAAGATTCGTTGTTTTGAGCCATAAGTCATAGACAAAAGCGCCATAGAGTCCATAGAGTCCCATAACCAAACCCGTACGTTGGCATTAGTTTTCTCCCAAATAGCATCATCAATCTCTCCTTCTTCTGGGGTAGAGACAGTGAGATAATCTTCAAGATCTTTGCCACGTAGAAGAGTGTAAACCAGCTTTGACCACCCAAGATAGTTCCTGCCATTGAGACGGTAAGATGGCGGGATAGAAGGGAGATCAAATTTCTGGTTTCGAAGAGCAAACGCGGCTGCAGTAGCAGCTGAAACAATGGTTGAGTGATCAAGGTTACTTGAGGCTGATTCGGCTTCTTTAGACATGATAAAACCCTTGATGAAGAGACTCCACCGGGAGTTAAAGAGAGAGAAGGGTAGAGACACCCAAAAAATGACCGTTGGAGAGGTGATAGACTGACTCAAAAAAGGCTTAGACGAAACCAAGCTCTGATACCATGAAGTTTTCTGAATATTATTTCCTTGAATTCATTTACAAGAAGTACATAAGCTATTTATACAGATAGGAATCCTGAGAGAGTCTATTCAGCACCCTAGGTGACTGTCTAAATACTAAACATAAATGATTGAGAACTGAAAAGACAGCAGCTATTAAATACAACCTGAAGCACTAAAGATACATAATTACAGTAATAATAAGGAAAATAAATCCTAGATTAATGATGTCTCTTCGTTTTATCAACATCAACGATATTGTGATTACGGGGAGTGATAATGCAGGTATTTTGGCCCTAAAGAATTTTCTTCATAGTCAATTCCAGACGAAAGATTTGGGCTCATTGAAATACTTCTTGGGAATTGAGGTTACACGGAGTAAGAAAGGCATATTTCTATCTCAACGTAAATATGTGCTTGACTTACTAAGTGAATCTTGGAAATTGGGGGCAAAACCAAGCCATACTCCCATGATTCCCAATGTGCAACTCACTCATGAAGGTGTGCCATTCGAAGATCCGGAAAGATATAGACGGTTGGTTGGAAAACATAATTATCTCACAGTTACCTGTCCAGATATTGCGTACTCAGTGAGTGTAGTAAGTCAATACATGTCATTTCAGACAGTTGATCATTGGAATGTTGTAGAGCATATATTTCAGTGAGTGTAGTAAGTCAATACATGTCATTTCAGACAGTTGATCATTGGAATGTCATTTCACAGTTACTTGAAGGGGACACCGGGACGAGGTATTGTTTATCAAAATCAGAATCACATGAGAATAGAATGCTTTGCAGATTGGGCTGGATCTAAAGATGATAGAAAATTCACATCTGCCTATTGCGTCTTTGTTGGTGGTAATCTCGTCTCTTGGAAAAGTAAGAAGCAGAATGTCGTTTCTTGTCCGAGTGCTGAATCAGAATATAGGGCTAAGGCACAATCGGCACGTGAGATAATCTGGATAAACCATTTATTGAGTGAAATGGGATTGAAGACACCAATGACTGCTAAACTCTGGTGTGATAACCAAGCTGCTATACACATTGCCAACAATCCAATGTTTCATGAGAGAACAAAACATATTGAGATCGATTGTCACTTTGTTCGAGAAAAGATACAAGAAGGATTGATCTCTACAGGATATGTGAAGACGGGAGAGCAACTTGGAGATTTGTTTACTAAAGCACTCAATGGAATTCGTGTTGGTTACTTATGTAACAAGTTGGGTATGATAAATATTTATGCTCCAACTTGAGGAGGAGTGTGAAAGACATTAGAATATTCTTTAGAATATGTTTTAGAATATTCTTCTATCTTTAGAATATGCTTTAGAATGTTTTAGGAATATACTCTAGGATATTATTATTGTATAGAATCTTAAAGGAATATTCTATCTTTGTAATGTATATATATGAGCTTAACCCTCCAATGAAATACACAGAAAATCATTCTTCTCATTACTATTCTCTTTTATTCTTTCAACAATTATGAGCACCTTAAATCTAGCTTGGTGGTGTTGGTGGCATTAAATTCAAAGTGCCACTAATCATATATAATTAACGAGCACTATAATATAAATTTATGCAAAAAAATGGGCAATGTTTTATGCTCGATGGCCTTCCTGTCACAACCTTCATAAACATTCTACAACACTGATCAGCGCTGGTTATATCCACATGCAAGCGAAATTTTATTAAAATGTGATGAGTTGAGATATTTTATTTATCATGTCCAAATAAAAAGTAGAGACAAAAAAGTGAGACATCAAAAGAGACGAAGATAACAGAAGTTAAGTACCAAACCTTGCAGCAGGCAAGACGCCCATCAGCTGATCAAAAGGTCTAAATGGTTCACCACGGAAGAATGTAATTTCTAAATCTGCAAGCCCTTTAAGATCGGAAGCAAATGGAGCATAATGATATGGATAAAACCTGAAAATAGAATTAGATATTATAAGTTCTTCATCTCACATAAAACAAAAGAAATATTATGAAGAAAAATCATTTCGAGCTGGATCTGTTTAATGTTTAGATACTGTTTTAGTGTTTTACATGAGTGGATACGAAAGTTGGAAACCCAAAGGAGTTTCGGAAACATGGGAGAATGGTACCCTGCAGGTACTGTTCACCCATTGTTTTCCCCTCCAGGCTCCAGCCTGGGTCTTGTTTCCCCTCGCAAAGTTCTTCCATATTAAACACACACCAAAAATGTCTCACAAAAACTGCTAACTAAAGCACCTGAACGAAAAGAACGGGTCACACAGCATTTAGAAAAATGGCGGCCATAGTCTATTAGTGACACAGTATGAGTATAACAATTTAGACAGCTTGAAAGGTGCACGGGAAAGCTTGAAACTTGAAAGTAAATGGAAAAGACTAACCACTGCCAAGAGCATACACCTTGAAAGTAATACCGGCAAACCCAGCATAATCCTTCAACAAATTTCTGAACCTGCAAAATAAATCACTCGAACATGTATCCCAATATAGTCATAACACCTGCTCCATATGACATACTAGATGATTGGCCTGGACGGAACCTATGAAAATGGGCAGCCCGGTGCACATTGGTGTCCCCGCAAGGTCAGGTTACGAGGAGAGTCCCACCACAAGGGTGTGTAACGAGCAAGTTTTTCCCTTGTCATTTTGACAAGAGGCTGCTTCCAAGACTTGAACCTGTGACCTCTCGGTCACACAGCAACACCGTAACATGGACGGAACCTATGATACGTAAAAATATTGGACTTGAAGGGAAATTTGGTTCAGAACGCATTTACATAATGTGAATGATTGGACTAGTATCCTGCCTGAGATATGCCAAAAGACAGGCTTCAAGGGGGCTTCTTTCAAGTTATACAGCATAAACCCAGGGGTTTGTCTTAGGAACATTAAACACTCTAAACTGTTGATTGATTTAAAGTATCTTCAGACACACGGGAACTAAAATGTTATATTCCTTCAATTGGTTCCTGTTATGTGATATTCAGAGGGAATGTCTGATTTTCTTCAGGTTACCAGTCTTGTATAGGTGTATAGCCATTAAGATTTAGTTTGAACTTTGAATAGTTTTGGTACATAGTGGCCATCAAGTAAGGAAAGGAAGAACCAACTACATTGGTTTAAAGTTTGAACATGTCGGCTGTTGAGTTGTAACCTGTAAGTGCTAGAGTGCAGGAGTAGAGTGTTACTCAAATTTCCTTATTTAATTATTGTGTAAATAAATGTGCCATTTTGCAATGCGAACCTGAACTCGGGACAAGGGTAGTATCAACTATCACCAATCAACCACTAATAATACATACTTTAGAAATAACTATTTCTATCCGAACTATTCAAATTTTTATCAAAGATGATACAAAGCTACATAGTATTTTGTAACATAAAATCAGTCACTTATCTATCAAAAATATAACCATCAAACATGCTTTGTTTGAAAGTTTACTGCAAGTTTGGATGATTTGAATTAACGGATTTGGTGTTGGAAAGTGGCTTCGTATTATTTTGTTATATATTTGAATAGTTGGGGTATGATATAATAATTTCCATAGTTCGTATTATTTTTGGCTCACCGGTGATAGCTGATATTATTTAAAGTTATTTTCCCTATTTTAGACTATTGAGCTACAATGCATATTTAACTGTACATTGTACATGAAAAAATAATCTTGTGGAGATTGATGCCATTTTAGTCATAAGTGTAATTTAGGTGGTAAAATACTTAATGTCGTCCATTCCAGTCCTAAGAATGTGGGAATCACTATTGATTATCTTTCACCAAAAAACAAAATCAAAAACATTGTCATCAATCTAGAAAAAAAATCAAATGGCCTAGGTTGCCTTTTAGAACATTGATGCAACTATATGTTACATATGGGAAATCAACAACCAGTCCCAGATGATAAATCGATTAGTCAGGAAAAAGACTAATCATAAATGAGAGATTGATATTTCTGAATATGAGAAAGCTAGCACTTTAACCTTCTAAAATTGTTTTGACCGGCGAGCATGGATTTTCAAGCAAACAATAAAAGCGCTAAGGATTGTTCACACATATGCATATTTATTGTGCTTTAGTAGTAGCATAGTTGATTAGGAATCGCTGTACATATGCAAGGAGAGAAATGGTATACTCTATAAATAGAACAATTACACAGCCATTTCTGACTCAGACACTTTTGGGGGTCATACCCTAGTATCAATTCCAATTAGTGATATACGAGCACCCAACCAAGAAAGTGAGCATAGTTCTTCCTACATATATAGGAATAGCATACCCACTGAAGTAAAAAATGAAAAGCGGGATATTACTCAGAAAATGCAAAACGCGTAATACAAGAGCTGTACTCACAACATCTTGTCTAACTTCTTCTATTTCCACAGGACTTGACAAAGCAAATTTCTCAGAATAATATCGTTCCTTGTATCCAGGCTCTCCGAGCTTCACCTGAAAATAGAAAACGTTGGCGCCACAGTGCCACACGCATATAGATATATATTTATTGCAGGTGTATTTTTATTTTACGAAATAATGTGTGTATCTATACATAATTGCATACCTATAAATATACATACAGAATTACAGATATATAAATATGTGTGTGCATGTTATGCATATATGTCAACTTGAGTGTGTGTTTGCATGACTCAACTCGTGTCTATTAGTTGCTAGAGAGCAAGGGAATCTAGTTTATTAAATTTATAATCTACTACCTCCGTCCCTAAAGAAGCACATGGTTACTATTATGTGGTCAACTCTAATAGTTTTTTATCTTTTAATTTATATATTCAACTTTTATCAAATTTGATTTTTTGCGACAATATAAAACTTCTAATGTACTTTCTGAATATGTAAATTTTATTTGCTAAATATAATCTGAGTATTCACATGGATCAGTTAACTTTATTGCCAGTCAAACATCGTAAAACGAAACGGGTCCTTTTTAAGGAACGGGGGGAGTATTAATATTGTTTATATTATATTCATTACGCTCTTAGTCTTTGTTGTTGCTCTTACAATTCATTTCAAATATTTTTGATAGCCTTGATGGCACACACTACTTTCCATTTTTTACACTGGTAAAGTCCTAAATGCATCTAATTGAGCATGTTGTTGTAAACCCTACCACACTAGAACAAGAAAATATAATCCAAAAGTTTAGTTGTTGATCATGAAATGACAGTCTCTTCAGATAGGCCTGTTTGGCTGTTTTGGTACTGCATGATCAGTGATTTCTATCATGGTCTAGAATGGCGCGACTTGAGAGTGCCTCAAAGAAGATGGTCAGAATGGGTGCTGACTGTTGAGGCTTATATCCTTATTGGAACTCAAACTCAAGCAATAGAAAGTTCAAAAAGAATAGCGCGACTCAAGGGGGAATAAGAAATATTTAAAAAACGTATTGGAGGTCAATAATGATGAATAATGGGAGGATTTTCTGAATTATGGTGTCAGACTACATCAAGTGTTTGCCTTCGTGCTTTTAAGACTAACAATTACGCATATCTTTAGTTGGTACGTAGTAGTTGAACTAATCAATATTTTAATAGTTTGCTTTATTTTGCGGTTTAGCCCTTGATGTGTACACCTTGCCTCTCTGAAATAAACTCTCTTTATGCCCAGACTAGCTTTTTTAAACATTGCTAATTATTCATCAAAACTTATTAAATTCAATTCTAGATATTTTCATCATTGAAGAGTATGATATGAATATATGATTGAAATAAAGGAAAATGGCGTTAAATATCACCAACTGTCACATGCCGACGAATAATGGTAGTACATAATAGAGAAATGGCTATTTAATAGCCCCACCTATTCAAATATTCAACAAAAATGACAGGAGCAACTATCAGACATCAAACCTGGTCATTTGAAGCTTTGAGCCATCAAAATCTGGTACAGAGCATCAAATAAAGCTCATTTAATGGTTTGCTACTAATTTTTGATGAATTCAGTGACCGGATTTGATGTAAAACGGCTTTATTAAACTTATTTTCCTTTTATTAATCGTGTGGATAACAAAATCACGAACATAGTGTTAAGAACCTGCGTTAATGATCTCATCCAGGGACGAGAGTGTTTCTGTAATTCAGAGGGAAGGTAATTGACTGGGAAGGAATCTATGACTTCTGAAGAATTGAAATCTTGAGCAGGAATTAAATTGATGTCTGACCTAGTCAAGACACACAGAATTAATTCTTCCAAAAGTTCCTTTATTGATAATAATAATGACCCTTATATAGAGGCTGATACAAGAGTCCTAAGGCAATTAATAATTAGGCAGTTGGCTAAAACTAAAATAGGAATACTAGAACAATTAGTCAGTTGCCTAAAACTGAAATAGGAATAATAGTATAAATAGGAAGTTGCCTAAAACTGAAATAGGAATAATAGTAATAACTAATTAATAGTTTTCTTTCAGCCACTTTGTTTCTCGATATAGTTGGGCCCACGGTCCGAGTATGAATCTGCAACGTTCTGGGCTCGTTCTTGGCCCTGTCGCCTGCTGTATTGTTTGCCCCATAATGCATCCGTAACAATACCCCCCTCATTGACTTCGAGTTTGTCCGCAAACTCAAACCTTGGAAATGCAGCAGTAAAGGACTCCAAGGTCTCCCAGGTGGCTTCCTCGGCCAACTGTCCCATCCAGTGAACAAGTACCTCTGGCACATCCCTATTAAGGCGTCTGCGAAGTATGGCTAGTGGTTGCAAGGTTGTTGGTTGTTCTAGTAAAGGAGGCAGAGGTCCCATTTGCTCAAGGGAAGGACCGTGATGCTTCTTTAAGAGGGGAAACATGAAAGACGTTATGAATTTTACTTGTCTCAGGTAAAGAAAGCTGATAAGCGGCCTTGCCGATGCGAGCAGCCACTTGGAATGGACCATAGAATTTGGGAAGTAGTTTATGGTGACGAGAACCCATGGAGAGTTGTCGGTAAGGATGAACCCGCAGCCAAACCCAATCATTGGGTTCAAAGGTAACCTCCCTGTGATTTTTGTCATATTGAGATTTCATACGAGCTTGGGCAATGGTCAAATGACGTCGAGCTGAAGATAAAAAAGCATCACGGTTGATTAACTCTTGTTCCACTCCCTCCAATTTTGCTGTTCCTGGAGTATAAGAGATTAACTTCGGTGGATCTCTCCCATAGACGAGACGAAATGGAGTATCTCCTAAACTGGAGTGAAAGGAAGTGTTATAGAAGAATTCTGAACAAGGTAACCAGTGAAGTGAACCCACTCCCTGGGGCAGTCACTTGTGAGACAGCGTAGAAAAGTTTCCAATGTGCGATTAACTACCTCCGTTTGGCCATCCGTCTGGGGATGATAAGCTGAAGAAAAAGTCAGTTTAGTGACACTCAAACGGAAAAGTTCTCGCCAAAATTGACTAACGAAAACTTTGTCACGGTCAAAAACAATAGATTCAGGGAGTCCATGCAGCCGAAAAATTTCAGAAAAGAAGACACTGGCCACTGAAACAGCCGTGTATGGATGAGCCAGTGGTATAAAGTGGGCAGCTTTTGTGAGACAAAGGTCGGTTGGAATCTCCTGGTCAACGCTCGTGTAAATGAGTCCCAATTCAGATGTTGTGCCTGTCCTTCCCACCATTGGAACCAGCTGAGAGCTTGTTCTTCCAATGCGAGGACCGCCACATCCAGTTTATCTTCATCCTCCGTTCGATTCAATCGGAAGTATCTGTTCATCCTTAACAACCATCCTGTAACATCCTTTCCGTTGAAAATGGGCAAGTCAATTTTTCTTCCCGTATTGTTCTGACTTCTATGATTCCGTCTTTGTTCGTGGTCGTGACGCGAAACGGAATGGTTATCTGCATCATCCGAACTATCTTCATCTCGCAAAATTCTCTGATGAGTGGTTCGCTGAGAGTTGTTCGATCTGTGACGCCGAGATCGATTAGTCATCTGAACATGTAATTCTGCGATACTAGCTTGCATCGCAATTTGCATCGCTGCAATATTCGCAGCTAGATTCTCCATACTGGCCTGCATTTCACATTGACCACGCTCAACGTCATTCATTCTCCCTTCCATTTTTTTTCACGTGCCAACCATTCACAACTACAATCAGGCTCTGATACCAATGATACGACTTCCATAAATCCAGAATCAATCACAAAAGAGTTAAGAACAAAAGAAAGAAACTGAATCTTATTCACAGTAGGTAAACCGTATACAATTGTCCCAAGGAGATAGAACTCCAACTCCCAGTCCCAGACAATTAGTCTCCAAAAAACAGCCTCCATTCCCACAGCAGAAATATTCTATTTATAACCTTCTACAAACAGAAGGTAGTTATTAGTTACTAACAACTCTCAACTAATAACTCGCTAGTCTATTTTAGGCCTTCTAGAATAAACTCGCCTGAACCATCTATTCTGAATATTTAGACTAGCTGGATCTCTATCAATACCCCCTCCTTGCAGAACCAACTTGTCCTCAAGTTGAAAGTCAGGGAACTGATTTTGGATCATTTTAATATCCTCCCAAGAGTCTTCAAAATCAGGAAGGCCCTGCCAATGCACTAGGACCTCCTTCTTCCCTTCCTGATTCAGCCTACTGTCTCTCACAGCTTCAGGTCTCACTTGCAACTCACAATCTTCTTTGAGGCAATCTGGGAGGCTTTGATAAGCCACAGTAGGTTTCAGCACTTTCTTCAGCAAGGATATGTGGAATACAAGGTGTATTCTACTTCCTTCTGGCAACTTTAATCTGAAAGCAACCTTATTTATTTTCTCTGAAATTTCATAAGGGCCATAAAATCTTGGACTCAGCTTTTGATTGATCTTGATTGATCTTCCTGGCCAAACTTCTCATCTTGTAGGGTTGTATCTTTAAGAAAACTTGGTCTCCTACTTCCAGTTCCTCTTCCCTCCTATGTTTATCAGCTCGTTGCTTCATCATATTTTGTGCTCTGGCCAAATTCTCCTTCAATTCAGTCAACATCTCATTCCTCTCAGCAGTCATTTTAGCTACTTCATCTACTGAAGTTATACTGACATCACCTCTGATGATTGCAGGAGGTGACTGTCCAAACAAAGCCTGATATGGAGTGCTTTTCAATGAACTATGATAATTAGTGTTGAACCAATATTCAGCCCACGGAAGCCATTTAACCCATTGCCTCGGTTTCCTTCCACTTAAACACCTCAAGTAAGTTTCTAGGCAACGATTTACTACTTCAGTCTGTCCATCACTCTGTGGATGGTAGGCAGTACTATATTTGAGCTTTGTCCCAGCCAATCTGAACAACTCTGACCAGAATGAACTGAAGAAAAGGTTGTCTCTATCACTGACAATGGATTTGGGAAATCCATGTATCCTCACTACCTCCTGGATAAAGATTTCAGCCACTCCTTTGGCATTATAAGGATGTGCCAATGGTATGAAATGTGAACTTTGTCAGTCTGTCAACCACTACTAAAATAG